CAAACGGGCACCAAATGACTAGGGAACCGCTCCTGGTGTATTTTGAGTAAGTCTTTCTGTATGCGAGACTGTGCTGCGCGCTTACTACTTAGCACCAAATCCTCAGGATGCCAAGAATACAGGAAGTCTTCGTAAGACTTTGCTCGCATTCTTTTTCGTAACACCTTAGATTGTTCGGCGTCGCTAAGGCCCCTTAATTCTGCCTTTAATTTCCTCACTTGGTCCTTGCTACGGTAGTCTGTGTTAATTTCTTCATGATAGTCTACCATTTCTTTTAACCATTCATGGGGCATTTCTCCGGCTATAGGAGGTGGTTGACATGGATCCCCGGCAAATACAACTTGGCATTTTCCACGGAGAAATTCTACGAACTCCTGCAGTATTTCTAATGGCACGGTACAGATTTCATCCCAAAGTATCACCGGAGGTATGTCGTGGATGGCTTCCGGCACCCACTTTTGGCCATTCCAGCGAAAGAAGCTGTGATAGGTTTGTGCGTCGTAGCCCATAGTGCAGAGTTCTCTTTCCAAGCGGTGCGTTGGCGTTAATACCTTTATGTATTGGATAATGGTCGAGCTCTGAGGATTATTTCAGTAATCCGAAGAGCGAGACCATTATCCTATTTAATATATACTCTCATTGTTTTCGAAGAAAAGAAACCGAATTGTCAAAACTGTTTTGTTCGTGTTTTACAATAAGCAGGCTAATTAATGGTTTATGTTTAGAGTGTCTTTTTTAAACCCGTTGTTCCATTAGATCTTCTATATACAAAGCACACAATAAATCGGAAATCTTATTGGTTTCGAGTGAGCATAATAATCCATGCGCTTTGTATAGGAGTTCTATTGAACTTGTATACAAAGCTTCAAATTATATGTTGGAATTCCACTACTGATCGCAAAACACCAATGAAACGCTTTGAGCTTTTGCATATTCACGTTCCTATTAATTGACTATAAAATCGAACTTTGGCTTTTCACATGTGCATTTCATTGAGTTCACTTCACGGTTCACTTTGCTGAGATGGAGACGTATGAAGAGTGCTGTTGCGAAATGTTAGCGGTCGACAAGGACGATGATGCAATCCTATCGCAATTGGTGGACAGTTTTGAAAACAAGAACTCGTCTTTAACTGTAAAAAGTGAGTTTGTTTAAAAGTATGATGATTCTGTTGATTATTTCATGTGATGCTATTGTCTTGACGTTTAACTGCTTGTACATATGTTTTAAACTAAATGAATTACTTCTTTATTTTTAGCTATTGAAGAGAAGCAAGTCGAAGAGCCTCAGCAAAGTCGTTTCAAGAAAATGCAAGAGAGGAATTTAGTAGAACTAGCAGAGGAGTCGATTCCAACTAATACAAAGAGTAAAGCCATGTGGGCATTCCGTTTATACCAAAATTGGGCAATGTGGCGAAAGAGTGGTGACTTTTCTAAAGGTGAGAAGTCTATGGTTGCTGAAATAGTGGAGAAGACGACAGAGTTGTTGGATATTACGCAAGACGAAAACCTGAGTGACGTTGTTAGCCAATTCATCGCTGAAGTTAGAAAGGAAGGAGGCAAACGATATCCCGCCAAAACATTGCACGAGATAGTGAGTAGTTTGCAGAAGTATTTTGAAATGAAGGGGAGAGTAGTTAAGTTTCTTTCTGGAGGGGCATTTGAAAAGCTAAGAAAATCACTAGATATCGAAATGAAAACTTCAACCAATAACAAGCTAGGCTTGCATCCCAAGCAGGCACAAGTAATTTCTGAAGAAATAGAAAATCATCTTTGGGAAAACAAATTTCTGGGCGATAGTTGTCCCAAAGTTCTGTTGAGAACAGCCCTTTATTTAATAGGTCTAAATTTTGGCATGAGGGCTGGGGATGAACATAGGAAATTGACCATAAGTAATTTTTCAATCAATACTGATTCCAAGGGGAGGGAATATTTGCTTTATTCGGAGGGTGTGTCTAAAACTATACAAGGTGGTTTGAAACATCGCAAGTTAACGCCCAAAGTGAGTAGGGCATATGCTAATGTCCAATGTCCAGAGCGATGTGTGGTGCAAATTGTTAAGACCTATATGAGGCGTTGTCCTAAAGACGCATTAGAAAATGCTTTTTATTTAAAGCCTTTGCAAAAATTACAAGAAAGGAGAATTATGGTACTGTAGTGTTCCTTTGGGCCATAATACACTTAAGAATGTAGTTCAGTCAATGATGAAGGAAACTGGGGTAGATGGTTTTTTCACAAATCATTCTTTACGAGCAACAGCTGCGACTAGATTGTTCCAAGAAAATGTTGATGACAAATTAATTAAGGGGGTAACTGGCCATAGATCAGAGTCTTTGCAAAGCTACAAAAGGGTATCAGACAATCAATTAGCTAAGGTTTCCAGTATTGTGCAAGCTAGCCAAGGGACCAAATGTAGTGAAAGAACGGCAGTTCCAGCCGTGCAGTCCAACTTTTCGGAGATTGAAAGTAATACGGGGAAAATRTGTCTGAATGTAAGTGGTGGCAATTGTAATATTACAATTTATAACAATTAAGTAAGTACTGTTCATGCGCATAATGATGGCCAACTATAATGCCAAATATCCTAAACAATGAAATGTCATTAAAAGACTTTTTTTTGTTGCTGTTGTATGTTTTGTTTGTAAACTACATTTTTAAATGAAATTGCAGTCAGGTCATTATTATGCCCACCGAGATGGAACAGGAGGTCATTATTTCAACAAATAATGACCTACTGTCCCATCTCGGTGCACACAATAATGACCTGTCCGCAGTTTTCATTTAATTAATTCATCAGCCCCACTCTTCCCTGCTGAATTCAAAACCCTCCCCGGCTTTAAGAAACTTAGATTATCAAAAATAAAGAATACTTCAAAACAATGAGAGTATATATTAACTTAGGAAAGAGTTCCAAGACACGCGTCGTCTTACCGCTGCCGCCCGTACCGTAAAGGTAAGAGAAGCGTTGGTAAGATATCAGGTCCTCAACTGAAGGCAAAGGCTCCTCGGTTGGTTCCACGCTACCGCGAAGGTGTTCTCCATGATATTCTACGCGTTCTCTCCAGGCTTTTATCTCCTCATCTTTGACGCGCCATTGACCACTTTCCGCCAACTCATCTTCGGTATAATACTCTTTCATCCTCTCTAAGACATGCGGTTTCACGTATAAGGAATCCGTAGCTACACGTGGTACTTCCTTTTTGTCGAACCGCAGGAGCATTGCTAAGAGATTGATATGCGCATATGCTAGCATGCTGGCGCGCAAATGGTAATACTGCGGCCGATGATCCTGATAGTAACACAGCGCGTTCCATTCACGGACTTGCTCACCTTCTACGAGGTAATCCCATTTCTCCACAGACACCATCGTTCCTTGATCGTGGGCGCGYTTAATGAGAAAGCTTAGTTCGCCTTCGTCCGTTATTAGGCGCCTTTGCATGTGTTTCTCACCCTCCTTAGCGCCCTGCGTGAATTTACCTATGACAATCCTCGCCGTGGGGTTGTGCTCTGGTAACCATTTCGTAAAGGCGCTATGGCAAAGTATGGCTTCATGCGCTGTGTATTTTAGGAGCTTACGCTCTTCTAAGAACTTTAACAATGGCACTGGTATCCATTCTTTCTCTTGTAGATGCTTCCCGTACCAAGCGTAAATTATGGGATGCAAGTCTTTTGCTAATTTCCAAGAGGTTAACCTTACAAACCCCGTTGCTGGGGCGTCGTAGCTGCCGTCTAAGGACACACGAAAGAACTGTGAATCTGGATGGCCGTAGCGGTCRTAATATTCCTTACAATCTCCTAGGCCTTTAAATGACGCAGGATAGCAATGCTTCATGTCTAAGGATACGTATTCGTCTTCGTCGTATTCCATGTTCCACAGGCCCCCGTGACCATGTTCTACACAGGCTTTGGCTATGTCTTTGAATTCTTTGGGGGTAGGTTTCCATCCATTCCTCTTTTTCGCGGCCAAGAAGTCCAAACTACGAGAGCTAAGCACTTCATCTGAGAAGTCTTCCCCAAGGGTTTCACAGGCGCTTTGGATGCGCTGGTGTTCGATTTCGGGGCGGTAAAGAGTACCATCTTGCGTCATAAACTGACTTCCTTCGGGATCCATCAACCATATTGAGTTCTCATGAATCAAGTTCACCAACGGGGAGGTTTCGTAAACCTTGGTTTCTTTCTTTCGCGGGAATCGAAGTTCTCGCCAAGCGTGTCCGTTATGCTGGTAGATGACTATAGGAGCACCTCTGCCTCCGTATTTATGTGTTCCAGGGTAAATGTACCCGTCTGTTATGTCCTTTACGTGTATGCGCCTTTCTAGGGCAGTTTCTAATTTCTTAATGTTATCTATCGTAGCCCCAGCTTTGTAGGTGGCGTTTTCCCATTTCCTGATGGCTTCTTTTCTTTTCGGAGTCAACTTACCTCCGCGGGCGGAATCTTCAAAGAATTCCCTTACCAGTTTCCCGACGCAGTTGCCGGGATGTCGCATTGGCTTGAGTTTCCTAACGTCTGGCTCTTTGATCTCATACGCACCGTAGATAACTACCGTAACAGGGTAAGCAACCTCGTAGAATAACATGTCGATGCCTACCAGCGCTCCGGGCCTGGTATTCTTATTTAGAACGAACAAGCTTTGCTTACCAGACGCCCGAATGGGGTTACGGCCTCTTTCTATTACCCAGTCGCCGTCGTAATACTTTATAAACGTTAACTGTAAACGGTAGTTACCTTCAGGCATCAGGTCTATTATCTTTTCGGCCCTTCCTTCATCCATGTTTTCTTCTGTGTCTCCTTCTGTGAATGTCGTGAAGGCGAAGTCGGCGTCCAAGCGATCCAATACCTGAGTTCGCAGCCTGCGTACAGTTCCGTTTTGAATGCGCGCGATGTTGTCCATCTATATCTAGGAAATATTTTAACCTTCGTTTGCGACACACAAACAGCAGCAGTAAGGGAATCATCGCGCGGGTAATACCCACTGCCGACGCATGTTTTTGGAGGGGCCTGAGACGCGGGTAATACCCGTGAAATTCGATGCTTAGTGTTTTGGATTCCGCGAGTCCCCCTTACTGCTGCTTTACGGTGACCGTAGCTTTAAAGTTCTATTGCAACAGATACTACGACTGCTACTAAATTGTGAGGTGAAGTTAAATGACGGAAATGACAAAGAAGAAACACCGCTACACATGTGCAGGACCTGGACTGCTGTGGAGCTCTTGTTAGACGCTGGTGCACGGCCAGGTGTTACAGACTCATCAGGGTGCACTCCTCTTCTTGCCGCTGTGAAGAGGAACATGTGCCTCAAGAAAGATTCTAAATGTTTTTATCCTGATGTTGATCAAACCCCAAATGAGTTCTGGGAAGAAGTACTCAACAGGAAACTTGATCCATGGACTGCTGATGAGGAAGGAAATTCTGTTTTGAGCATCCTAGTCAAGAAAGAAGCCGAATGTCTAGCTAAAGCCCTGATTGAAGTTGCATGTGAGCTGAACTGTGTGCAATCAGATGCAATTGGAGTGCCTCTTCTCATTACCATTTGCAAAGACAAGTCCACGGATAAAGAATGGAAAACTAATTTTGTGGAGATACTGCTAAAGTCAAGAATAGGTCTTGTTAGTAAGACACCGAGCGACAGCAATGACACACCCCTTCATTTTAGCTGTAGGAACATTCTGAAGTTAGCAAAGTTACCAGATAGCAGTGTTGAAACGTCTGTTCATTGGAAGATTGTCCAGTATCTTCTGTTGTGTGGAGCTGATATCAACGCTTCTGGAGAAGCAGGCGAATCCTGTCTTGCTTTGTCAGAAAATTGTCCTGTTCTCAAAGATCTACTATCAGCTCCAGTGGACCACAGTGAACTTCCTTTAGTTCTTGAAAACTGGACACCGTCTTCCCAGAGTCACGCCCAGAAACTGAATTTGGTTGGAAGATTGGTCAAATGTCGACAAGTCAGAAGTATATATTTATACTCAGAGGCTTTAGATGAAGATAAGGGCACAGACGGTTTTGTCTTTGCTGGAATCGTACAAGATGGCAGGGAGGTAGCTGTGAAGCGCTTTGATAAGTCAAGAATTGCACCCGAGAAAACACCGGAAAGCATTCTTGTGCTATCAAAAAAGCAATGTGAGCAGATTGTTCAGTATTACTTTTGCTTGGACGAGGGAAACTTTCATTATATAGCTTTTGAATTGATGGAAGAGAATCTCGAGCATTACTTTGATATGGCCAGTAGCGCAGGGAATTCCACCAAACTTTGCAAAGACTTGTTAATAGGACTGAAGTGTTTACATTCTCAAGGTATAGTTCATGGCAATATCAATCCAAGAACCGTGTTTTACCAAGCTAATCCAAGCTTGTGCCTTAAGATTGGAAACTGCAAGACAAGTAGCTCAAGAATAGGATGGGTTGCTACAGAAGTACTGAAAGATGAAACTTCCTTTTCCAAGCAGTCTGATATCTTTTCCTGTGGGCTCGTGCTTCACTATCTTCTGTCAGGCAAAAAGCATCCATTCGCTCCTGCAGACCCTGTAATGAGAACACCACAGGAAATCCTCAGCAAAACACACAAAAATATTACGAATGGTAATATTGTGAAGATTGATGATTCCCTCTCTCCTGAAGCTACTCATCTTGTACATCTGATGCTGGACAGTGATCCCAGCCATCGGCCCTCTGCAGGCGAGGCGTTGGTTCATCCTTTCTTCTGGGAAAAGAAGACAAAGAAAGCATTTCTTAATGTCGTTGGAAATGAGCCAGAATTTGAAGTAGGGAATCGATATCCCTTAACATTGTTTGAGTACGAATTACAGGAGCTGTTCAGTGTAATCGTATCCAGTACAAAATGGAATGATCCATTGAAATATGGCCAAATCTCAGCTACAAGAAGAAGGCGTAATTACAATTTCGGTTCAATCGCAGATTTGATACGTTTTATTCGTAATACCTACCAACATATTCACGAACAAGAAGCGAGTATCCAAGACTGGTGGAACAAGTATTATATATTCGATTATTTTCCACGTTTGATTATCGAAATCTACAAGAAGGTCAAAGTATACAACCTGCACAAGTCAAGACCACAGATCCAGAGTTTTTTTATCGAGCTGTAAATATCTTCAAGTTGCACAAGTCAAGGAATCAAGAAATACTTTTGCAAGTTCGCAAGAGACACAAAGCTAAATAAGGTCTGTAGATTGCTTTAATTAATTTTGAAGTAAGGCCATAGATAGAAAATTCAAACGTTTGGTAATGACAATACGATATATTATCGTCTATAATGAGTGGGGGGGGGGGGGGGGG